AAGTGTGTTGTGCTCAAAAATCAATGTTTTTGTATTGAATTTAATAATTTTTTGATGTATTTTGGTATTGGTGGTGGATTGTGGACTCTTATTCTGCTAAATCTGCCTCCATCCACTATACCTTCATGATCAACACCATCACTATCCAAACTATAGCAACATCTTCATTATTCTTACACTATTATCTTCACTATCCTAACACTATTATCTTCACTATCCACACACTATCAATATCATTACTATTCCACACACTATTATTTCTACTATCCACATACTCTCAACATCTTCACTATCCTCACATTAACAACATCCTCACTATCCACACACTGTTGAAATCTTCACTATAAATACACTATCTACATCCCCGCTATCCACACTTCATCTCCCACATCCCCACTATCCACACTTCACATCCCACATCCCCACTATCTACACATCATCTCCCACATCCCCACTATCATCACTTCACATCCCACATCCCCACTATCCACACTTCACATCCCACATCCCCACTATTTACACATCATCTCCCACATCCCCACTATCCACACTTCACATCCCCACTATCTACACATCATCTCCCACATCCCCACTATCATCACTTCACATCCCACATCCCCACTATCCACACTTCACATCCCACATCTCCACTATCTACCATCATATCCCACATCCCCACTATCATCACTTCACATCCCACATCCCCACTATCTACACATCATCTCCCACATCCCCACTATCTACACATCATCTCCCACATCCCACTATCTACACATCATCTCACCCCCCACTATCTACACATCATCTCCCACATCCCCACTATCTACACATCATCTCCCACATCCCCACTATCTACACATCATCTCCCACATCCCCACTACACATCATCTCCCACATCCCCACTATCATCACTTCACATCCCACATCCCCACTATCTACACATCATCTACCACTTCCCCACTATCATCACTTCACATCCTACATCCCCACTATCATCACTTCACATCCCACATCCCCACTATCTACACATCATCTCCCACATCCCCACTATCCACACATCATCTCCCACATCCCCACTATCATCATCTCCCACATCCCCACTATCTACCATCCTCCTCCCACATCCCCTATCTACATCATCTTTATCCCACTATCATCTCATCTCCCATCCCCACTATCTACATCATCTCATCCCCACTATCTACATCGCCTCCCACATCCCTATCTACATCATCTCCCACATCCCCACTATCTACATCATCTCCCATCCCATTATCTACACCATCTCCCACATCCCTATCTACCCTCATCCCCATCCCCACCCCTATCTACACATCATCTCCCATTCCCACTATCATTACTTCATCCTACATCCCTATCTACATCATCTCCCACATCCCCTATCTACACATCATCTCATCCCCACTATCTACCACATCATCTCCCCATCCCCACTATCTACATCATCTCCCCATCCCCCCACTATCTACACATCATCTCCCATCCCCACTATCCATTACTTCATCTACATCCCCACTATCTACATCATCTCCCCTCCCCACTATCATCACTTCATCCTACATCCCCACTATCTACACATCATCTCCCACATCCCCACTATCTACACATCATCTCCCACATCCACACTATCTACACATCATCTCCCACATCCCCACTATCATTACTTCACATCCAACATCCCCACTATCTACACATCATCTCCCACATTCCCACTATCATTACTTCACATCCTACATCCCCACTATCTACACATCATCTCCCACATCCCCACTATCTACACATCATCTCCCACATCCCCACTATCTACACATCATCTCCCACATCCCCACTATCTACACATCATCTCCCACATCCCCACTATCATCACTTCACATCCCCACCATTGTCTCCACTATAGAAGTTTTCTATTGACAAAGTTCCAACCATAGTACTATATAATGTCACACCTTTTCATAAAAACTAGTCAAATTTGAAGTTGTATTCCTACTGACCCCAGACACATTTTGGTAAAAAGGTTCAAAATGACTGATACTCTGTCTGGCTCCCTCAAGAGGAAGTGGTCTGAAGACCTCTCAGATGAAGGCGAAGAGGCGGAGAAGCGCCCTTGTCTAGATGGAACAGGGCTGATGGATTCGCCTGAGCATGAAAAGGTTAAGGAGTTAGATGACACGGATGAAAGTGAAGATGATGTCTCACCTGAGAGTGATGAAGATTTTTGGGGGGAAATGTTAGAATACGAATTCTTGGACAGCAGTGATGATGTAGATGGATGGTCCCCGTCAGATGAGAGCGATGGATCTGAATCAGATGAGAGCGAAGGATCCGAGTCAGATGAGAGCGAAGAGTCTGCATAGGAGTGAAGACAAGAAATCGACGAAGGAGGTGGACAAGCGGGCAAACTACGAAGAAAAGACTAAACGGGTTGAGAACAGGGCTGTCAGATGTACCATAAGCTTTATGACCAACACTCCAGCCATCTCATGGTCAAATCGGCCAAACCGTTTTTATTTTGCAAAATTCGGCCAAATATTTTTGGATGGGAAACATACATATATTGTTTCTCACAAGCGATTTTTTATTTTTTTTATTTATTTATAGTACTTTATTATTATTATCATTGTTGTTGTTATTGTTGTTGTTACCTGTATCATCATTATTATTATATTTTATTTTTAATTGTGTATTTTTATTATAAATTATATTTACTATAAATTAATTATTATTATCTCTCTCTCTCTCTATATATATGTATATGTATGTATATATATATATATATATATATATATATATATATATATATATATATGTGTATGTATATATATATATATATATATATATATATATATAATATATATATATATATATATATATATATATATATATATATAATATGTATATATATGTATGTGTGTATATATATATATATATATATATATATATATATATATATATATATATATATATATGTATGTGTGTGTATATATATATATATATATATATATATATATATATATATATATATATATATATATATATATTTCATGTAGATCTACAATGAAAACGTGGATAAGATAAATCTTGATAAAATCACACGGGAAAGGGGAAACAACGGAGCACCTTAGCTTTCGTCTTTATTAAAGACATCTTCAGAGGCAACTGGATTACATGGACAGAGAGAGGCTTAAATATACAGGGTGACCTTAAAAACATGAGGTCAGGTCATAATGATGTCATCCACTAATCCCCAGACCAACACACACGGAGAGGAGCTTAAGAGAAGGGGGGTGACGTGACTAGTTAGGTCAGGTCAAAAATAAGGGAGACTCCAATAGATAACTATCATACATCTAGATCAAAGGTTTTCAAAGCATTTTTAACCTTGGGCCACTGACAAATAAATTATTATATACATCACCAAATATAATCAACAGAAATTATATCATTCAAAATATACGTTATATTCTGTCTATCGTATCTTAATTGGTTACTGTGGGTCATTAGGTCTGTAAGTATTGTGTTTTAATGATGGTAATTATATCTCATTAGTCTTCTGATTCACCACAGTATCTCTTTTTACGGGTAATTTCCACACAGGTATTATATTTAACACAATTAAGGTATTTTAGTCGGGCATTAGGAACCTTGAGTATAGAGACAGGTTAAAGCATCTTAATTTGCACTCCCTCGAGAGACGTAGAGCGAGGGGCGACCTGATAGAGGTGTATAAGTGGAAGGCAGGGCTAAACAAAGGGGACATTACAAAGGTACTCAAATTATCCAACCAGGAGCGAACTCGTAACAATGGTTTTAAATTAGACAAATTTAGATTTAGGCAGTGAAATAGGTAAACACTGGTTTGGAAACAGAGTAGTGGATGAATGGAACAAGTTACCAAATATCATCATTAACTCGAATACGCTGAATTGCTTCAAACATAGGTTGGATGCTCATATGAGCAATAGGGGTTGGGTGTAAACGGGACTGCCCAGTATGGGCCAATAGGCCCGCTGCAGTTTCCTCCATTCTTATGTTCTTATGTTCTTATTAGATCATACAACATGTATACTCTGGTCAAGCACCTTAAAAGCTCACAAAAGATTCAGGGGCTTAAAAGAGAGAAAGAGAGCTGAGTCAAGCCTTCTGGGCGGCTCATTCACCTCATGATTCATCGGTTCACTGGGAGAAGTGCAGCTGGTATTCGAATCTTACATATCAACTGCTTCGTTTGATAATATTGGAGATTAATTACAATGAGAAACTTGCCTACTTGAGAACATCTAAGCCCAGCACTGTGCATTACGTTCTTAATAACATTGTACAGAACACTTGTGAGAACTTTGCACATAATAGAAAGGAATCTCCATTCTCACTAATCTGTTAAGGAAATATTTTATCGGTTCTTGTGGAGCTGAGGAGTGACACCGCCTTCAGATGTCTTGAATGTTGCACTAAGAAGTCTGTGTTTAATCGACGTGAATCGGTGGTGCTTTAATCACACGTGAAGAAAATTACAAAGACAGGGTATTAAAGAAGAAATGAAGGCTAGAAGAATAATTGGGACATGTGGAAATAACAAGGTGAAATAACAAGACGAATAATACTGTCAAGAAAAACGTATCTGTAATTGAAATAAAAGACCAAAAGGCTGATATAGGTCACACGAGGAAGAAGTATTGTGTCAACATTGTTTAATATCATCACCTAACAAAAAAGTACCTGATTTTTTTTTGTAACTAAACATTATTACAGTAGCACTAAATACCTACACATAATTCAAATGGCATTAAACTTTTTATTAGTGACGGTACAAAAAAATATGCATGAAATAATTTTCACATGCTTGCTCACGCAGATAAGTAGTGCCAAATCGTCATATAACATGTATCAATAGGCAAACATAACAGCCGGTGCATACCTACTTAAGAGAGAGGCACGAGGCACTCCCCTACCAGACGCACGACAGTGGCCCACCTCGGTGCCCGGCCACACACACACACACTCCCGCAGCCACGGCGGTCACCCCACGGAGAGGCAGTGTTGTGCGAGACCTTGGCGAGTGTGGACCTACGTTCTTACCGCTCTGATACCCCGCGATTTGTGCTGACGGTACTAACGTCCGCGGATATGGTTATATGATATGTGCAGGTGTTTTCTATTTACTTGCGAATGATTTTATGTTCGAAGTAATTTGTTTGAGCTGACTTAGCACTGAATCAACGTTGTTCATTAACTTTTAGAAAGAAACCAGCAACTTGGAAGTGATGTGCTGTGTTGGAGTGCATTTTAAGGACGACTTCCCCCACTCACTGTGGAGTTTTACGTGACTCTCCGGTGCCGGTAAGTGTCTGGATATTAATGTTCTCTGCCTCACAGTTATCATCCAAGGGTTGTAGGGATCATTTAATTTATGAAGGTAAAGATAACAATCACAAGTTATCATACATGGTAGGAACACCTGGTTGTTTACTGTAAATATGAACGTAAATAAAAATAGTTTCTTGCATTAATTAATAAAAATGTATTACAATTGTGTTATCTTTATTTTGTTGATTAATCTGTAAATAAATCTTATGGATTTATCAGTAGACAGGACACCTGGTGATGTGTTGAAGTGAAGGTGTCTCACCTGCCTGAGTTATTAAGTACCGTCCACAAGTTTTGGTCTCTTTCATCCAACAACCTTTAAATATACAGTATATTTGGCTTATTAGGGAAACCTCAACGAATGGTGTACTTATTTTTCTTGTTTACAGACGTGGATTTACTAAGAATGTTGGCGTTGTGAGAACTTTACACTATCTTAGTAGTAAGAAAAATACGAAATTGAACTCTGAAAAATAAAATTCAAGCAAAAAAACTAGTGTAATAATAATATTTTATGTTAGGTAGTATTTTCATGTTTAAATTTATGTGAATACACATAATTGCGACACTATTTTTTTAGTTTGTTCATATTGGATGTTTAATCAACACTTATAAGCAACCACTTTTAACAAGCCCTTCTTTCTATTTCATTGTACAGGACGCATCATAAGTTGTGACGCCTCAACACTCTCACTTAACCATCTCCCAACTTTTTATTAATTAGGGTTGGGATTCTCAGTCATATTTTCCTACGATTATGCTGCTATATATGGTAGAGTTTCAGTGCAGTTTCGTTAAAAAAATTTATGCAATTTTTTTGGCGTATTGTAAGTGAGATTATTACACATTTTCTTATATTTCGAGTTCGGTGAAATGCAACTTTATGTATCCAGGTTTTGCTCCCCATTCTCAGAGATCTGTATGATAAATTGTCCTCTTAACTGAAGATTAAAGAATGCACCGAACTGGATGAATGAAACGAAAATCAGAATTACTCCTACTTTTATCACCAGTTAGTGGACAAAATAAACTGAATATTTCCCAATCATTGTCTACCATAATTTTCTGTGATACAAAGCTAATAAATTTAGTTATGGTAGAGTCTCAGTAGGATTTTAATGTATTTTTCACTATTTTTTTTAATCCACCAGTTAGCTGCATTCTGATTTGCGAGTCATTTTCTTCATACGTTTGAGTACCGGGTTCGGGCTGGTTGTATTTACCCGGGTACATGTAGTGGAAATGCAAGCTCTCCAGTACAATTTCCATGATGCGGATATTACGTCCACTTTTGGCTTATAGATGTAGATATCCAATGTCACATCCAAGTCTGATCTTGGAATCAAAGTCTAATCTACTGCAGGATATTTACCGTCCAATTCTGACATCAGGCAGCGGATATCCAGTATTCTAACTATTTTTAGTCTCAAAATGTAAATATCCCTCATCAATTTAACTCTGTTCAAGGGATGCGAATAACAATAATGCAATACACTTTGGATCTCAGGGTACGGATGTTCTTCGTCCAATCCACTTCTACTATCAGGACGCGAATATCAAAGGCCAATCCACTTCAGGATGTGGATATCCTTCATTCAATCTACTCTAAATCTCAGGATGTTGACACCATCAGACAGTCCACTTCTAACCCCAGGATGTGGATATCCAACGTCCATTACACACCCTCACACCCCTTGCGTTTAGTTGGCTTCAGCAACTTAACTTCCGCCTGGGTGTGGTGTAGGTGTAGTGCGTCTCACCTGTCTTAACCTGAGGTGTGGGGGGGGAGGGGGTGAACTATTTTCCTCCCATCCCTGGACATGATAAGCTCCGACGCTAGTGTGAGAATACATTATATCTGATTATTATTATTATTGTTATTATTATTATTGTTATTATTATTATTATTATTATTGTTGTTGTTGTTGTTGTTGTTGATGACATTTCATTACGAATATGATTTTCATTATTATAATTATCACTGCTATTAGTTTATATTATCATTATTAACAATGCTATCAGGTACTACAGTCAATACGTATTATTATTGTTACTAATGTTTACGTGTGGAATAGTCCTCTGGGTTTCGAGTATCGTACTGTAAAAAATGTATAATATTCAGCATAAATATCTCTCCTGTAATGTATTACGTTGCCGAGCTCGTCCACAATGGGGGTGCAGAACATAAAACTACAAATAACATATAAAAGATACAACTGGTAATAATTATAAGAAAGGGAATAATGATAACGTGACACTACAGTTAATAATAATGATAATAACATTATTAACTAAAAACAAAGAGTTCACATTATAACTGAAATTAACTCGTTACTGTGCTGAGGAGGATACCCGGCGTCACTCTTAATAGTTGAAGGGTCTTAACAATTCTGGTCTCGTTATGATTATCTCACCTGAGTATTTCGCTTTACTCTTCAAATGTTTTTTCTTAATTAGACGTATGACGGTGTTTGAATTATATTACAATTGAAAGACCACTTTAGATTGGAGTTAACGCTTTAATTTCCACTAGTATATGATATTACGCTGTTCACTCTTACAATTTAATAAACTCTACTGAAGACAGCCTTCGATAACCGGTCGGAGAAGTTATAAATATTTAGATGTGAAGTTAGTGTTTAAGAAAGACCTCAATGTTGGTATTGCCAAGTCAAATGGTCTCATTTTCAATTAAGTTCAGAGTTCAGGTGTGAAGCACAGGTTCACCTGGGAGGAATAAGAATAGAGGTTGTTACAGCCTTGACAAAGGTGAAGGTAGTGAGAATTGCTTCTTAGATATCCCGTCATTATTTAGAGTGCAGGTACGTTGTATCAGGCCTTTCATACCTACACACGGAGAGGACAGGAAGCATTTATTCCAATTAGTATCCAACGAATATTCAGTGTGTGTGTGTGTGTGTGTGTGTGTGTGTGTGTGTGTGTATTAGGTAAGAGATTGGGACTTTTCTCTGTGGTCTCGTTTGACAGCGACCACACTGAGGCTCCCCCCTGGCTGTTTCTGGTAATCCGGTCACCAGAGTTTGCGTCTCTCTGACAGAATTAAATAGGGAAGACCCACTGTGATCCTGTATCTCCACCCAGGCCCCACTTACAGCACTCCCTCATACAGACGCACATACAACGTAGCGGGAAAAAAATCGTAGATGCATGATTGTGTTGGTCTCCGCCAGGATGGTAGATGTCCACGATAGAAATCAGTAAAGCTAACACGTACGTAGCTATTTCCATCATAATCTTTCCTGCTCTATAGCCCTGTCCGTATTCCCTCAACTTCAGATCTCTTCTTCCTACATCCCATATGACGTGATGGATGAGTTGATCTTTGTGTCTATTCGTTTATCACATCATTCGTATACAGCGTCCAACAAACTGAAGTTTGATATAGATATGAGAAAATTAATTCAAGCTCATTTCTAAAAATATCGACGTATTAATCCTGGTATATTTGTGTTCCCTGACAACAACGGACTATTGCTGTGCTCCCTGAATCTGTATGTGTGTGTGTAGGCGTTATCAGTACAGGTATATATTCTTTACATAAAAATGACACAGCCAATCACTCTCAATTTCGCAGGTTTGTGTCCAGAGGCATCCATGAGAGCGCCACTTCTGCACTGCTAAGTCATATACGTTAATATTTTTCCAATTCTTGTGGCAAATTTAGTCTTACAATGTTGATATACAGGTCTATCTATCTAACAATTAGGAGAACTGTTCGAACTGATAATATAGTACCTAGTTCATCAGCAGGAAGCCTGGTGCAGGTGGTGTGTGGCTGACAACACTGGTGGCTGACAACACTGGGGTGTGGGAGACAACACTGGGGATGTGGGAGACAACACTGCTGGGGAAGGTGGGAGACAACACTGCTGGGGAAGGTGGAGACAACACTGGGGGGCAACACTAAGGTGTACACTGTTAAAGCTGGTGTCGGACAGGCTGCACCTTACCGTGCGTGTGTTCACTCGGGATGCCGCTGTTGTGTCTCACTGGCATCTGATCGCTGTCATGTTGTGTAAGTCAAGGTACAGTGAGGTCTCTAATACATTTTCTGTACACGGACTTACTCATATCACTTATTTTACAGTTTTACAGTATCTTCTTACATGCTTGTGTGTAATGTTGATAAGCTGCAGTTACCTTGATCAAAGAACATATTACTGTACTCACATTATATATATATATATATATATATATATATATATATATATATATATATTTTTTTTTCCGGAGGACGTAAACGAAACAATATGGAATATAAACAATTTCGTGAAAGTGTATAACCGTACAGTTTATTGCTCGGTAACTTGATATAGTTAATTGTGTGGTGAGTCAGCAAAGTTTGTGCCTTCATACTTTACTTATTACGTAATTACGAAATTTCTCCTAACTTGGGGCAATTCATTTGGCAAACAGTGCTCCGGGTTACAGGAGTAATCACATATACAGAGAGTATAGGAGTAAGATTAACCAAAGCGGTAGCAATATATCAATTATCTTATATAGTAGAAGTGTGCATGTGCATGTCGCAAAATATCTTAAATGGTATATAGTGCATAAGCCTTTTGCTGTATAACTCTTACACGCTCTAGCGCCCACAGGAGAGGAGCCAACCTTTAATATGAGGATAGTGTCTAGTAGAAATGTTGTGTACAGTATGTTAACCCACTAACTTATAAAACCCCATTTAGTAGACAAACAAGGGTTTTCCATAACATTTGGATGAAAAATAAATCTCATATACTTTATAGGACTACAAACAACGCCCTCCAAATTCTAACCCGAGGCTATACTTTATGTCTTCTCCGAAAAGTCTGCTTTAAGCTTTACCGTCCTAGGTCAACCTTTCACAGTTTTAAATCTTCCCATTAAAATATCCCTATTGAGAGTTTAATGAGGATAATTCCGACAATATCTCGTCATCCGCAGATCTAAAACATTAAATAAAATAC